GCCATTGCCGTGACGCCCACGTGTGTCCAGGAGCTCGGGGCAGCCGCCGGGAGAGAGGACGTGCCGCGCACGCAGAGCCACCAACGCCGCTGCCACTCGAGCGGTCGCCGAGCCAGAGCGGGCGCCGTCTCCCGGGGCCTCGGCTACCAGCCCTGGGGGCGGGGCGCCGGAGGACACGCCCCGGGGCGGGGTCTCTGCGTGCTGGACTCGCCCCTAGCCTAAGCTTAAAGGCGCGCGACCAGCGGCTACGCTTGAGCACCCACTGTCTGGCAGTTCGATGGGCTAGGAATAAGTGTGCCCTGGGCTGCTCATTTTCCATTTGCATTCTGTTCTTCGTGCCTAACCTGTCCCTCCCGCAGAAGACCTGCGGGAAGGTCCCTTGCTAGTCCCCTGTCACAGATCCTGGGTGGCCTCTTTTTAATCAAGGAAGGTAAGTTTTCTAAGGCCTCCGCGCGTAGGAAGCCTAGGTCTTGTTCAAATCCAGCCTCTGCATCTTCACTAGTTGTAGAGGGGTCGTCAAAAAGTTCGTGTGAAAATGGAATTAAATGATTGTTGTTGTTTGGTACGGTTGAGTTGGTTCCTACTCATAGCGACCCTGTTGTTGTTGTTAAGTGCCGTCGAGTCAGTTCTGACCCATAGCGACCCTGTACAGGGTTTCCAAGGGTGTAAATCTTTACGGGAGTAGAAAGCCTCATCTTTCTCCCGTGGAGCAGCTGGTAGTTTCGAACCGCTGACCTTAAGGTTCGCAGCCCGATTCGTAACCACTACGCTACCAGAGCTCCTTCATAGCGACCCTAGGAACATAGAATGAAATATTTGCTCCATCCTGCGCCATCCTCACAATTGTTACCAAGTTTGAACCTCTTGTCTTGCCATCGTGTCAATCCATCTTTTTTTCACTGACCCTCCATTTTGTTGTAGTTGTTAAGTGCCACTGAGTCAGTTTTGACTCATAGTGACCCTGTATAGGATTTCAAGGAGCGACTGGTGGGCTTGAACCGCCAGCCTTATGGTTAGCAATCCAGTGCTTATCCCACTACGCCACACCAGGATTCCAGGACTCCAGAATGAATGGTGGTGGTGGTTGTGTGCTGTTGAGTTGGTTTGGATTCATAACGACCCTGTATAGGATTTCCGAGGTTGTAAATCTTTACAAGCAGAACAGTTTATCTTTCTCTGCAGCAAGTGGTAAATTTGAGCTGCTGACCTTGCAGTTGGCAGCCCAGTTCATAATCCACTACAGGTCTCCTACCCTTCAATAAACTAAGCTTAATGTCCTCTGAACTTACTCCACTTAACAACTGTCCTGCTCCTGGAGCTGGTCCCCCCTGATAACATATCCAAAGTAGGAGAGACAAAGTGTCATCTTGACTTATAAGGAGCATTCTAGCTACACTTCCTCCAAGACAGATATGTGTTTTCTTCTGGCAGTTAATTGTATTTTAAATATTCTCTTCCAATACTATAACTCAAATGAATCAATTCTTCTATGGTCTTCCTTATTCATTGTCCAACTTTCACATGCATATGAGGCTATGGAAAATACTATGGGTCAGGCCCGTGCTTTAGTATTCAAACTGGTATGTTTGCTCTTGAACACTTTAAAGAAGTCTTTTGCAGTAGATTTGCCTAATGCAATAGGCTTTCTGCTCCTGGCATTTAAACAACAACAACACGTTGTTTGATTTCTTAACTGCTGCTTCCATGACTGTTGATTGTGAATCCAAGCAAAATGAAATCCTTGACAATTTCAGTATTTTCTCCATTTATGATGATGTTATTGACTGATCCAGTTGTGAGGATGTTTGGTCTTTGATCTTCATCAGTAAGTACTTTAAGTCCTCTTCTCTTCCAGCAAACAAAGTTGTATCATCTGCATATTGCAGGTTGTTAATCATTCATCCTTCAATATGATTCTCCATCTAATCTAGTTTCTCAGATTATCTGCTCAGCATACAGATTGAGTAAGTATGGTGAAAGGATACAACCCTGGCACATATCTTTCCTGATTTTAAAGCATTCAGTGCCCCCTTGTTTGGTTCTAATAACTACCTCTTGGTCTATGTACAGATTCCTCATGAGTACAACTGAATGTTCTGGAATACCTATTTTTCACTGTGTTATCCATAGTTTGTCATGATCCACATAACTGAAAGCCTTTGCATAGTCAATAAAGCACAAATAAACATCTTTCTGGAATTCTCTGCTTTCAACCAATATTCATCTGACATCAGCAGTGGTAATCCTAGTTCCGTGTCCTTTTCTGAATCTGGCCTGAGTTTCTGGAAGTTCCTGTTGATGTACTGTTGCAAACATTTTTGAATTATTTTAAACAAAATTATACTTGCATGTGATAGTAATGATACTGTTTGATGATTTCTACATTCGATTGAGTCACCTCTCTTTGGAATGGGCACACATATGGATGCCATCCAATTGGTTGGCCAGGTAGCTGTCTTCAAATATCTTGACATAGAAGAGTGAGTGCCTCCGGTTGAAAGATTTCAGTTTGTGTTCCATCAATTCCTGGAGCCCTGTTTTCCACTAGTGTTTTCTTTGCAGCCAGGAATTCTTCCTTCAGAACCATTGGCTCTTTTTTTTAAAACCACAGATTTTTTTTTTAAAGCTTTTATTGTGCATTGAGTGATAGTTTACATGGGAGAACATCAGTTTTGCACTCATCCTATCATATGTCATATCATTGCAATGATTCCAATCCCCTCCATGCATCACCATTCAACAGTATTTGCTTCTATTCCCTTTGGGGTTTTTTTGGGGGGGTTTGTTTTTGATGTACACAAAAACACTCAGGAATATACAATCATTTAAATAACTCAAGGACACATTCTACAAACCTACCTACTGGCCACCAGCACACAGTCTTTCTCTTTCATCAGTCTAGTGTCCTTAGCTGCTCCCTTTCTCCATGTCATCATCTCTGCCTCCATCTCTGGTGTCGCTGCTTCTCTGGATAGGGTCCCACATTCCGCTCATGCTCTTCTCCCTTGATGGTCCTAGGGTCCTTTGTTCCTGGATTGTAAGAGATTAACTACTCCCTGCTTTTTGTTACAAAACTTCTACCTTTACAGTTGTTACAGTCGCAATTAGTCATGATAATAATTATTCACTATTGAATCGTTAGAATCTTATCCCCATCTCCTTTCACCAGACCCATCTAGACAGGATGAAAACTATTCAGTGGGGATTCTCCCTTCCTCCGCACACTCTGAAACTAAACTCCCTCTTGAAAACTTGTAAGCCAGTCACTTCGTGCCTTTATAGCCCCCCATTTTAGGCAGCCAATGTCTAAGTTGCCTATCCCTATCTACCCTGTGTACAGGGGGGGTAGGATGAAGACTTCTTCCCTCTCAGTTGGTATTCTGAGCTACTACATCCATAAGTATGCAATTCAAACTGACCTTGCGGTCCAGTGCTTACCTTACAGTGAATCCTTCAGTATTACAAGTTGAAGCTTGAATTTTTTCTTCAGTCCTTTCAGCTTGAGAAATGCTGAATGTGTTCTTCTCTTTTGGGTTTCTAACTCTAGGTCATTGCACATTTCATTTTAGTACTTAATTTTGTCTTCTTGAGCTGCCCTTTGAAAGTTTTCTTTTCAACTCTTGTACTTACTTCCTCCTTTCTTTCATTTGCTTTAGCTGGAGAGCAAGTTTCAGAGTCTCTTCTGACATCCATTTTGGTCTTTTCTTTCTTTCCAATCCTTTTAATGACCATTTGCTTTCTTCCTGCGTGATGTTCTTGATGTCATCCCACAACTCTTCTGGTCTTCAGTCATTAGTGTCTAATGCATCAAATATGTTCTTGAGATAGTCTCTAAACTCAGGTGGGATATATTGAAGGTCTTATTTTGGCTCTTATGGACTTGTTTTAATTTTCTTCAACTTCAGCTTGAATTTGCATATAAGCAACTGTTCCTCAGTCTTTCCCTGGCCTGGTTTTGGCTGATGATATTGAGCTGTGTTAAAAGACATCATGCACTGTCTCTTTCCACAGATGTAGTCATTTTGATTTCTGTGTATTCCATCTGGTGAGATCCAGGTATGTAGTTGCCTTTTATGTTGTTTACAAGAGGTATTTGCAATAAAGAAGTCATTGGTCTTGCAAAATTGTATCATGTGATCTCCAGCATCATTTCTGTCACCAAGGCCATATATGCCAACTACTGATTCTTCCTCTTTATTTCCAATTTCCACATTCCAATCACCAGTAATTATCAATGCATCTTGATTGCATGTTTGATCAGTTTCAGACTAAAGAAGTTGGTAGAATTCTTCAATTTCATCATCATTGACTTTAGTAGTTAGTGTGTAAACTTGGATAATAGTGGTATTAACTGGTCTTCCTTGTAAGCACATGAATATTATCCTGTCACAGACAGCACTATACTTCAATATAGTTCTTGAAATGTTCTTTTATATTTGTTTAATTGTTTTTAATAGCATTTAGTCATATCATTTACAGTGGCATCTGTTTATAAAAGACTGATGGGTTATTTAGTCTTATCTTGGGTTTTTTGCTTTTGTTTTTCAATTGAGATTAGGGGAACTAGTTATGGGTTCACAAAGAATATTTCAGGATGATATATTTGACTATAAATTCAAAAGGTTCACAGACATTAATCTATAAACAGCAAATATGAGTGTGACTTGAAGCCAGTTGGTTCACACTGTTCAAAAGCACCCTCACTTCTTTAAAGTGAATTAGTATACGTGATTTTTGACAGTCCATTGAGGACATGATCTGCTCACATCCACATGCAAGGGCAGACAGTGAGTTTCTGTGAGCAGAGTCTGATTCAGTCAGCTGCATTACCAAGGAGTTCCGGTCACAAGCAGCACTGACATGTCCTCATGTATCAGATGATACAGTGTCCAGCGCTCTCGGATACCTTGATGCTTTTGCTTGCATATACCTTTCTCTTAAAAAGCAAAAAATATTAAAGTTCATCAAAATTCTGAAATGTTAGTAGCTTTGCCATCGGAAATTACAAGTCACTTTCATTACCACTATTTCTTTCATTCTGAGTCAAGGCGAGGTAAAACTGGAAGAATAAGATTCTCAAATGCAGAGTCCTGAGTTCTGAAGTATCCAGATGAATGTTCATGAGCATGCTGCCAAGCTGCCGGCTGCTGGG